CCTTGGGACTGCCTAAAACAGGTCAATATAGGCATGTGGTCTTTATACACAAATAGCCCATACATTATACCTTGGGACTGCCTAAAACTGGTCTTTATACACAGGTAGCTCATACATTATGCCATGGAACTGCCTAAAACTGGTCACTATAGACAGGTGGTCTTTATATAAAGGTGGCCACTAACACAGGTTTGACTGTGAATGCAATGTCAAACGATTGTACGTGCGTCGCTCATATCTTTAACATATCAGTAGTTAGCATGTGAATTAAGCTTCCAATATGTATATGTGTTTCGCCAAGTATGCATCAATCGCTGTCACGACAAATATGAAATATGAGATCCGTTTTATTTATATTATATACTCGGATCAACAGGTAAAGAATCCAATTACAGTTCTACCCCCCCCCCCCGCACTCCTCCGATGTTTTATACGGGAGAAAGGGACCGCGATCCTGCAGTGTGGTAAATCCACTACTCTTTGCGAAGATGTCACTGTGGATTGTTAACGTGCACAGGGGGCTAATCAGTACATGAGCCGGCAGTCGTTTTCTTGTCCATCCGATAGGTTGTCATTCTCCTCTCTGTGGTAAATGTTTAATACTGGCTTGAGAAATCGAACGGGGTCGAATCTACTAAACATCCCTGCCCCGCGAACACGCTAAGATGGCAATGAACGTATCACATCCTCGGAACGTGTTTTAAGCACACTCACACACATTATGTAATAGTTGAAACAACCCTTTTAAATTGGAAGTTTGGATTATTTATGTGATGTGGTCAGTAGGGGCATGCGCTACTATTGGCAACAGTTTTATAGACGACCTTGTGGGACAAAGCCACTGCTTTGCATAATAAAGCACCCCATAGAATGATAACACAGAGAGAAGAACAGATCCGTGTCTTAACAAATAATATCTGCATGTACACAAGAATGTTACAACATTTGTTTCTGATGGGGCGCGCTATTTTATTGACCTATTATGTTGGCGTATTCACATTGTAATGGACGGGTGCGTAAATATAAACCACAAATTGTCTTTCATCATGATTTTCGCTTGCTTTTGAGGTATTGACAAAGCGCCATAGCCATCGTACTGCGTCGTGTTCGGTGTGGGTCCCATGGGATGTGTACGAAGTTTGTAAAATACATTGTTTATTTACATGAATTTCGAACGCGTTCTGCGCGGCGACTGGTGGCGCTTTTGTGTACAGTTAAAGGGCGGCAGTCGTCGCGCCGCGTCCTGTTCGATATGGGACTCATAGCGACCTATACAACACGAGTAAAATACTCTGTTTATTTACATGAAATTCGAACACGCGTTGCGCGACGACCACCGCGCTTTAATCCCAACGATGTGATTGTGTGGGTTCCGCCAATGAAATTTGTTACGATTGCATCTGTTTACCAACACTTCAGACACAATAAAACCAATTCTTTCATTTTAATAAATACTTATGAATTTCAACGGCAATCGAATCCACTAACCAATCAACGAGTTCATCGCAGGTTTTATTCAAACTTAACTGACAGCCGAACAAGTCACTGTATAGCCGGTATTTACTTTTTGTTTGTCGACTTCGTGAATAATACACCTTTCCTGTAAATTACGCCCTCTAGTGTTAATGCGCTTCTGTGACGTCAAAATGACGTTAAAGTACGTGAAGCAATGTCATTCAAAGCGACGGTTATGTTCGGTTATTAAGTCGGTCTATGGATACACCATCACCTTAATCATGACCACAATTTTCTCGAAAATAATTAATGACCCCCAACTTGTTTTTTTGTTTTTCTTACACCAACAATAGACAAAATAATTTCGATAAATTCTTTGAATGTTCATGTTTGAGAAAGCTTATACATTAATCTCAAGTTCATTGACGTCATTCAAATCTAACGCCATAGCGGTCGTCGTGCCGTGCGTGTTTGAATTTCGTCACGATGTATACAAACAATGTATAATTGGTATAATCGGTAATAATGTATTACAACATTATAATAGATTATTTCCAGTAGAAAACAAAATCAGTGAAATTTTGTAAGCTTGCTTGGTCACCATTGACGTTGACAAAAAGAAGAATCATGGAAAGTACACATAACTACCTTCCGTCGAAGAATCAAGCAAGTTTACTACGAGTCCCAGAACAGAATCCAGCAGTCAGTCCAACTTAGACTGCCATCTAGTGTCAACATTTGTTGTTTATTTGTATGCATATTATAGAGGGCAGTATACGTTCTTATTCATGACTTTCGCAATCTGAGCAGTTGTTGTCTAGTGAAGAGGATGTACAGAATTGCCTCGTTTTTTTTTACGAATATCGTCGTCTATTACAAACTTAATTTTATTTTATGATAAAACATGCTCTACTTATCAAGATGTAATATATATAATAACACATGCTTGGAAATATTCATAGTTATTATACACATTGCTTCTTTAATGCTATTGTCAGCGTGCAATCACTTACCTGCACCAACTAACACCACTGAATCTATACTTCCTGTTTCTATTTTGGCTATCAGGATGGGCCAGGGATTCCAACGTGTCAAGTGTATGGACTGGCGACAAACTCCTTTATATCAGAGTATCCCAGATTCAATAAATCAATTGGAAAACCAGGCGAATTATAAGGCAAATACTACAAGTTTTTTTTGTCGTAAAGATTTGATGTGATTTACAATTGTTTATTCTCTTTTAATACGAGTCACTCCAACCATGGTCACTGACTATGCTCCAACTTTTAAACAAACGCATGCTCCATTACCTGCGATAGAGGGCGCTGTAAGTCAATGCGGCATTTGCTTTATTTTACTGGGAGGGCGTCCGTCTCCTATAAAATAATAAACAGCAAACAAGAAAAATATAAAAAAAAATAGGGGCAATGGGTACAGATTGTACTAACCAATGCTAAGACTTCGCGAAAAATGTTTCTTGTTTTTCCAAAAAAATGGGGCAGTGAGACAAATTTTTGGACACAAATATTTGAATTTTAAATATTTATAAGTAGCCAGAGAAAATGCAAGTCTGACAATGATTTTATAAATCGATCAGGAGCTACAATTTCTATTACTCAATTGAAACAAACAGAAACAATACTTGTTATTGTTCATTTATATCATACATATTGAACTCCATGGCAGGTTACATAAGTAGAGCACAATGTATACGAGAATCAAATCGAACCCTTATAATTTGCTGGTGGTCGTCGTCGCACAGCACGTGTTCGAATTTCATGTAAATAAACAATGTATTTTCCACGCGTTGTATACGTCGCTATGAGTCCCATATCAAACAGGGCGCAGTGCGACGACTACAAGTATGAAAACAAATGACTGAACTACTCATCCACACTACAAATTGAGTCCGATGGTCTCTGCCATGCTTTCTGTATTTGTATACCATATTAAGAACGGGGTGGACACTGGCGTTCAAACACGCATATGCAGTCGTGTTTTTTGGAAGGGATGTTGTTGAGGTTTTTTTACAACAATACAATTTGTTTTCAGTCAATATAGCTAACATAAACTGTATTTCTTGTAGTCGCAAAGAATGCCAACGAGGTCTTCGCTTTCTCACTCGCCAGTTTGTTTCAACACAATAAGGCGAAATACAGCAACAAGGCCTGTATTTAAGAACTTATGATTTTAATAATTGTGATTAAAGGGCAGTGGTCGTCGCGCTGCGTGTTCTAATATAAATCTCAAGTATGAGGTTTGATCTGAGCGCAGCTTGCACTAATTACAGTCGGCGACTCCTTTGATACCTTCCAATCACCTAAAAACATACCTAATTATAACTTGGCAACATCTCAGTTTGTGCTCGTTGATCTGCGCAACAATCAAAGTCGCCATCTTTGTTTGAACGAGACCCATATTTCTTGTGCATGCATGGTGCGGCGACTACCGCCCTTTAAGGTAGCAACAAGGGGAAACAAGTTAAAATTGATCAGTGATTTTCTAAAAGTTATTAAGCGGATCACAGTTGTACAACAAGGTACTAGTGCACACGACGTACAAATGTTTGTCCAAGAGATGACCTGGAGACCTTTTTTCGTAGATCAATGAACACTAGGTGCGGTTTTATGCTTTGCGAGGTGTCAGATGGAATTATCATATGCAAACATCATTCCATAAACTGCATTGTTACACGTCATTTTTTTGTATGCCATTTAACATACGATTCGTGAGCAAAGTTCTGTAAAATCAGAATTATGCTTATTTTGATATCAGAGTACTTACGGTGACATGAACTAGTATTATCTATTCTCCTTGGCTTTGTGGATAATATTCCATGATGTCACTGTATTAATCAGTTCTACAAGCAAATGCATATGTGATAACCACACAATACATGCATGCAAGACTAAAAGTAACAACACCCACACATACATAGATTGTATCCAGGTTTATATTCAAAGTGTGAAATCTTTTTACATTTATGGTTTATTTAATTGTAATAAATTAACTTGTGTGCCAAAAAAAAAAAAAACCCATGGCATACATAACTGAAGCATGCTGAAGTTGGAGGTTTCACATGAAGGTTGGTCGATGCAGTACACAGCTTGTATAACAAGCACTCTGCCACTCTGCTTCAAGCAAAAAACACAGAGAATTAAGATTATAACAATAAATAAATAAAGAAGGAGCACTTGAAACGCAAGACATTGCTTTGAGTGACTAGACATAGCAGCGGGATCATAAATAAATAAATTAGACTGACAAAAATCAACGGAAACAAATTCAAACCTCAGCATGTTTACAATTAGAAAATGACTATTTGAAAAACAAAAAAAGAAACGTGGCAAGTTCTGGAGTGTGATATATATATATATTGCTGTACAAGGAGAAATTCACACACTGTTAAGACGTAGAAATATAAACTTAAAATATTCTCACATTTACGTAAACATCATTGGGTTGGCATTTCATTTCTGGAAGAGAAATAATTGTATTCTTTATCTTAAGTATTAAAGGTTTAAATAGAATATAAACAATCTGGAACAATAATTATCTCGCGTTACAATACAAATACATTACTTGGACTCACAGTATCAAAACTACACACCTTCAGGAAATATATAAACTTATATCAAAGAAATATATACAAGCTTGGTTGTCCTAACATCACAATTCAGAACAAATCGTACTGATTTGTTTTCTTTGGCATAGTTAACCGTCGGCTATGCTAGTCAAGCAATTAAAATTTACAAACTGTTTTCTGTATACTCTTGATCTTTAACAGCCTATCAGGAAGGCTTTTCAAGGCATAGCAGGCCGGTTCTTTCAAGGTTGTTATTATTGGTCAATCTGTCCCACAGATATTACGGAATGTGCTACAGCTTTCAAACTTGATTGTCAGAACAGTGTTTTTAGTAGTAGATTCAAATATGCTAATATGAACTTTTTTTTTATAGCCCACACAGAGAATGAGAAGCTCTAATGGAATCCTATTTTGTTATGCACAATATTCAAATGATGCGAAATAGACAATAGCTTTCTGGCAGTATTCGAGAAAAATAGCTGGGGAACCACTTGAAACATTTCTAGAAAATGCTTCACTGAATAATTACGGTAACATGCGCACCAAACACTATCATTAGTGAGCAACAGGAATCCAACTGCATTTTAAAGCAACAGTATTTTCAACAAAGTATTTATTGAAAACAGTATTTTGTTTTTGGGAATGTCAGAGTTGATTTAAAAAAACAATAAGTGGTAGAACTTCTGAGTTGACAGGTCATGTAGTGAGTCGCATCGAAATAGTAATTAGTAGCGCAGAGTTCTAGCCCTATCTACTTGCCTCCCTATTATGTATAAGTATGTCACTGACTCAATTGAAAGGCCAAATCCAAACAAAAATTGATAAAATTGCATTATAGAATAAAACCATATTTGCTTTATTAGTAATGTGCATGTAAATGACAGGTGTTTATGCTCCTAGCAAGTCATGTTTGAATGATCCAGTATATAATACATGCACTTTAGATTTGGAGATGTGCTTCTAATAGAGCAAATATGGTACAGGAAATATCAAAGTACACAAGGACAAACTCATTGTTAATTAAGACAAATTGCTTCTGAAGTACAAGCACTGCAGTGGATTCCTGTTTTTTTAATGATGAGGTGGTGAAGCATTTTCTCTTACTTGCAACACTCAAGTGGTCTGCACAGCATCAGTTACGCTTACACAGGTACAAAAGTAGAAAAATAAAGAAAAGCAGCTGTCAAAATTAAAACAGTGTAAAATAGGTGTGTAAAATAAGTCATACACACAAATATAAATTATACTCTGGTTATCAACTCAGGCAGCCAAATCCAAGTTGACACCGCTGAATTTTGGGAAAGTGGAGTTTCAAGGTAGAACACCAGTAAATAAATCAAGTGTGAAAATATATCTATTTCGTTAGAAGCAATGCAACATTTTTGATATCTGGCAATTGTACAACTCAAAGAGCAAATGAAAATGTGGCCTGAATGATGTAATTTTTGAAATTTACATTTATTTTAGACCAAATTTAGACCTCAAATATTCAAGCTTGGAGGCGGAATGAGATACAAATATTATTCAAATATGGCTTTGTGCACATTTGTGTTAATATTGTCTTAACTGACAGAAAGTGTTGTTGTGTACACCAATGTAAAAGTGTAAATCACATCAGAATACTATTGACAGCTTCTTCAAGCATGGGATCAGCACTTTGCATATTTTCAGCTAGCAAGTTTTCCACAGACTGCTCTTCTTCTGTTCTATTAATACCCGTATTATTATCATCATCGTCCATAAAATTGTCCGGCATTACATGGCCATAGTTGTTCATTACATCACTAGTCATTGACATACCAAAGGGATCATCAATCTGGTCATCCGACTCGTGCAGCAAGTTTTCAACAGCTGCTACCTCTTCCATGGAATCATCAGCAGAAGTTACAGCAGATGTGACTGACAACATATGGGGTGTAAAATCAGGGCTGGGTGGCCTTTGTAAGTCTAAGATACTACTTATTGCACTTTGCATTTGCTCATTCAACAGTTCAGGGGCGGGACTTGTCAGAATTCCGTCAGAATAACCATCACTATCTGCCTCTGGCTTGAAAGTTGGCAACAATGAAGGCTTAGGAAAGGTAATCTGTGGAGGTTCATCAAACTTATCAGTATCGAAGTCAAAGACGTCATCAACAATGCTTGAATCTTTATTATTATCCAAAGCACCATTTCCTAAACTCCTACTAAGCATATCAGCAACTTGGTCCTCTGTATCATTAACAAAATCTGTCTCCACAGGAGACATAGCTTCAATGTCAATCATTTCAAAACTTGGAGGGCACAACGTATTGGCTATCATCCCCTCCAACTCAGAAGAATCAGGTTCCAGCTTAAGCTTTACTTTCGGTGGAGATTTTGGATTTTGGAGAACAGGATGAAGGTCCACTTCCGTAGAGACTGGACTTTCTAGTGTCAAAGAGTTACTGCTTGTTGCAACATTTGAAATGCTACTAAGCTGCGATGACAACATGTTTATTGCACTTGAAACAGTCTGTGACACTGATGACACAACAGCAGTAGAAATGTTCGCAGAAGCCACAGATGAAACTGGATGATAATTGTTCGAAGTAGCCACAGATGAAACTGGATTTTGAATGTTTGAAATAGACATGTGTGCTGGAAATGCTAACGTCGACACAACAGGTGAAAGCACTGCCGGTGTTGACTTCACTGATGCTGTAGAAGACTGTAAAATCAAAGGACTTGATGTGACGGTTGATGGTACAGACGACATAGCAAAGGCAGAACTGACAGATTGCACTACTTGTACACTAGCTGAGGTTGGAGTCACTACAGCACCAAGTGTAATTGGAGAGGAGAAGGACGATACAACAGTTTGTGGCATTATTGAAGACTGCACAGTGAATGGTTTAGCTGCCTAGGAAGATAAAATTGAAAATATATATAAGCAATGATAAGCAAAAATGTAAGATTATTGCTTTGAAATTCATCTCATCTTTTAATCAAAACATGTCTCATTTGCTTTTTTATCTATCAACAGACCAGCATGAAGAGAAAATAAATTATGATACACTCGCAACATCATAACCTAAACAGACACGGGATAAATTCAGAGCAAATATAATCAAATCATCCTTACCTGCAGATATGCAGTAGTTGCAGTTCCTATCCCCAATGTTATAGGTGTGGTAGTGGTGGTGGTGGTGACAGTTACTGTCGTTGCTGACAAAGTTGAAATTGGAGTTACAGTAGATTTGCCAATACCTGCAATAAGAAAATATTGAAATTAACAGCGGAAATTCTGACTACACAACATAATACCAGCTGTATAGGAATAAGATAACTCAACAGAGTAGATTGCATTCTTTTTTTGTATCCTGTTGAGGCGCCTAGTCTAGTATAGTAGCACTGTGGTGTCACTTTTGCCAACCAACATGTGAATGTGTGCTAACAAATATCTCAATGATCAGCACTAGCTAACAATTTGCTGCTCTGACAACTTTGTCCGCAAGTTATTTTATTACAGGAACTCGTACATGTATATTTGAAAACAACATCAGTGAAAAACGCTGTTCTTGTCAACCAGTCATTGCACACACAAAATGTAAACAAGTGTGACGGCCTATAAGGCAGTATAAAAAGCATTATTATCACAAATGACTTCTAATGTAATTTTACATGTTCACATACTGGCAGATTTGATTTAGCGGATGTTGTTTATTAGTGACATTAAAAAGCCAGTGAAAAATGGAATAACGATCAATGCTGCCACTACTAGCGCTTTCCTTTCACTTTCCCAAGACTTTGGTTTTAAATAACAATCCAGTGATCATAAACCTACCATGTTTTTCTAATGCAGTCAACTTCTCTTGTTGTAGGAGCAATTTTTCATCGTTAATGAACATTCTTTCTATCATTACCATCTCTGCAGACGGTTGTTCCCTCTGAAAACAAATTATCACAGATACATTTATTGCAAATGTTTGTTTGGTTCTGGTAATTTTCTAAAATATAACTCATTATCCAAAACATCACTCAGGGTAATCTTTAGATAAACAAGGTAAATTTTCTGCATATAATAATAGAGAGGAATAAAACTTTGAACTTGGAACTTAGAGCATAATATCAATGTATTCCATACAAAGAAAAGAGCACAAGGGTTCAAAATAACAAAACATACTTACCTGAGATTCATCAAACAGCAACAGTCTGTACTTTCGAAGCATTTTATCCATTTTGTCGAGAAGTTGTTCTGATACAGTCTCAAATATCTCATCAGCTGGAAATTTATCACATTAGATTATGTCAATTAGTAATCTAGGGCCAAATCAGGATATTTTAAAGCACTACAGTCGTTGTGCAGCATAAACAAACCATGTACTTTACATGCATTGTATACATCAAACAGTGGGACTGTAGGTCTTTAGTGCTACTACTTTATACTGCAAGTCCTAGATTATCTGTAATGACCAACATATTTAAAGTTGGGAAACCATCTTGCACTTAATGGCTGTACCAGGTGTACATACCATTAACTTCTGTCAAACTAAATTCAGTTAATACGTACCTCTAGCTATCTTTTGTTTTGTGGGTCCAGTGTCACTAGTAACATGATACTTCATTAATCTCTCTATAGCTTCCTTACTGGACTTAAAAGTGGAACAGTCTGGAAGTAATACCGAGTTTTGGTTCTCTGCAAGCTGTTCCAAAATTCTAGAAAAAATATATTATAAAAATTATTTATGTGCCAAGTTAAATTTCAGGTGTTTCACATGACGCTATTTACACTAGTATTGCATGTTCAATGGCATCACCACACTAACATAATTCGTAATTGCAACAGTATAATTTAACCCTAATCGTACCAAGCCCAACCTATATGGGGCTGGTACAATTAGGGTTAATGACAATGACAGCAACAAGGCCAACCTGAATGCGCATTTGACAATGTTATTGGCACTATGGCAATGAGTAAGAATGATAAAAACTAAGACTTACAAAGATTCCCTTTTTAATGGAGTTTCTGCTGGTCTTTTTATTCCCCGAATTTGTAACTGTTGCTGCTTCTGTAATGTTTGAGTGAGTAGAGCAGGTGCTAATGCTTTGATCTGGTTGATTCCTTTACCAACTTGCTGCAATAACATAAAGAAGCACAATTCAATATAGAGAATAATCGTGGCTTTCACATCAAACCTATAAAACTAATTATATTTAATGTACACATTCCAGTACTGCCTGGTTGGTAACCTTGATACAAGTATTCAGAAAAGTAGGATGAGAGTGGAGAACAAATTAGCTTACCAGCTGCCTTCTAAAGAAAGTCCTGTACAATTTATGAAATTCTTGACCATTTAATTATAATTATCACTCATAAATACATCAGAGGGAATTTGATTATCATAGAATAGAAAAAACGGCAACTCCTTACTGTTATTTGAATTGGGATCTTTGCAGCCAACGTAGGCTGTTGCCTCACCACTGTAACTGCTGTACCAGACTGAGTTGTAACTACTGTGTTAGCTTGCTGTCCTGCTAAGTTATTCTGAGCCTGTATTAGTAAAAGAGCCTGTGGATGTTTCAGGAATTGCTGTTGCTTTTCGGGAGTCATATTTTTTAGCTGTTCTTGGATTTGCTTCACTGTAAGTTTTTGTTGAGGTGTCAGGGTTATTATTTGCTGACTGCCAGTCTATAAGAATCAGAAACGTAAAAAAAGAGTTAAATTTAAGTTGAATAATGTGAACAAGCCGGCTGGTAATTGTTTATCTGTTATCAACATGTGGCTTGATTAACATATTCATCAAGAAATATGGACAAATATATGGTCCACATGCAACACATCAGTTACTAGAAATATTTGCTACCATGTTTCCTACATGTACATGCATGATCAGAAGAATAAGTCCTAGTTTTGTATATTTATGCAGATATTAGCTTAACCATATTTGCATTTTGTGCAACAAAAATAGTGCAACCTAGTACGATATGAACTAAATTTTTAATTAATTGTTAAGGTTATTCACATTACATAATGTGTCCATCAAAAAATGTTATTTTTGTTAGTAGCCATGACGACCAATTTGATTTCACATGCAGTAAAGCCCATGTTTTGACCACTGCTACGCTGCTTGCAGCTTTAATTTTGTTTTTATAACCTGAGTATCATCATTATACTAAGTACCATCTGGTATAGGTAATAGTCATTGTATTTTTGAGCAGATTTTATTAATGCAAGACTAATTCGTGCTTGTGTACACAACCTAGATAGTATGCCGAGATTTGAAACTGCTGAAGGGGGTAAAAAAAATGTTGATTAACAGCACAGAATAATTAAATTTGTCATAAAAAAAACTTACTTTGTTAGTTTGTAAAGTTGTAACTGGTGTTGCATGAACAGTAGACGTGACTACAGTAGCTGCTTGAGTACCTACTGGAGCTCTCGACAAGCTTATTTGTAATTTCTCAGGCTGAGAAGTGTTAATAGTTGATGTTGGGGTTGCATGAGAAACAGTTCTAATCACAAGCGGAGACTGCTTTGTTGGCACTGGCTGGGCTACACCAACTTGTGTTGTTTGTAGCAATTTTGTTAAATGAGGTTGCGACTGCTGTGGCGGTGCTGCTGCTGCTGTCGTTGTCGTCGTTATGACAGCACCTCCACTGCTTGTAGTTTGGACTGTTGCACCAGACTGTTTCTGTAGTTGAGCAGATATCCTCTGCTGCAGAACTGTCAACTGTTGCAGTACTTGTTTTTGTTGTGGGGTTGGGTTCTGAACACTAAGAAGTTGTTTAATTTGGTTTTGGATATTAGTTTGTACATGAACTCTCTGTTGAGGAGTCAAACTTAGATGATAAACAGCAGGTTTTCCTGGTTGTTGGGGTTGCTGAAGTATTGGTTGCGGCAACTGATCCTGCTGGAGTTGTAAAGGTATTTGAAGCTTTTGAGGCAATTGCTGTGGTGGTTGGGACTGCTGCTGCTGCTGTTGTTGTAATTGCACATTAGGCTGTGTCATAACCACAGTACTTTGATTCTGGGGTTGTTGCATTGGAACAACAGTTTGTAATGTTACAGCGTTTGATACGGCAGTGTTTGACGCTTGCACATTCTGCATTTGAATTTGTTGGACTTGTTGCTGGGGTTGGAACTGTAATTGTCCTTGTTGTTGTTTTTCTTTTTGGATTTTCAGAGCTTGCTGGTAAAGACGCTGCTGCTGCTGTTCTCTTTTCTGAATGATCTGTTGAAAATTAGGATTTACCTGGATTTGCCCAGACTGTTGCTGCTGCTGCTGAATACTTGAGGTTCCTGTTTGATGTAATGGAGGCTGAGGTTGAACAACAGCAACAGGAGGTTGTGGAGATTGTGAAGAGGACACATTTCCTACTTGTGCCTGTTGTTGCATAGTCTGTGTTTGTTGTTGTTGTTGCTGCTGCTGCTGCTGCTGCTGCTGCTGCTGCTGCAATTCATGTACGGGTTTGGGTTGAATATTTGATTGCGTAAGAAGCTGGGCAACATTCAATCCCTGTAACGGTTTCTGTAAGTTTTGTTGTTGTAGTTTTTGTTGTTGTGCCTGATTCTGGATTTGCTGAGCAACTGTAAGTGCTTGTTGGTTAACCGCTCCATTATTCTGACTGGTATGCATAACAGGTTTTGATAATGTTGCAGTTGTGACAACCGTGGGTGCAGTTTGAAACTGCTGTCTGTTGGCTCCAGCATTTGTAGTTGCATTTCTTGTTGATTGCAACACATTTGTAACAGATATAGTTCTCACAATGCTTTGCATTTGAACTCCCTGACTGTTAAGAAGAATGTTTTGTTGTTGTTGTTGCTGCTGCTGCTGCTGCTGCTGCTGAGGAACAGAATTTTTATCTTGGCTACCCTGATTCTGCAACCGAAGTGCTGCTGCAAGGCCAGCATTTTGAATGACTTGTAGATTATTTTGCTGACTTCCCAAAGCAGTACTTGGCTGTATTGTCATTGGACCTTTTGATGCTATGTTCAGTTGAGCAGGTTTAGGACTAATGTTCACATGCGTCTTGGGACTGATTGCGACAAGCTGTTTTGGCTGAATAGGAGTTGGTGTCTTTGTGATTTGTACCTGACCAGCGAGAGGCAATCGCATCTGAGCTGCAGTTATCTGTTGACCACCAGGTGATTGCACAGTGTTCGTAACACTTGGTTGTTGCACCAGTTTCTGTTGGAGGGCAGCCTGTTGTACAATCTGTTGGGCAACATTTTGGACCTGTGTAGTTAGCTGGGATGGAGTAGAAGTGTTTTGTACAGCAATAGCATGTCCGCCTACATTTCTGATTGCAGTATTTGTGCCAAGCTGACCAACATTTTGTGATGTGGCCAAGGTCTGTAAAGGAAACACATTCCTTGACACAATTCCACCAACATTAACTACTTGGTGTCCCACATTATTACTCGAAGTCACTTGTTGCTGACGCACATTTTGAATTGTCACATTTGGTACTGAGGTAGTAGCAACGGCTTGTTGAATTAAGTACGTTTTTCCTCCAATTGTAATCGTCTGTAAGGTCTGTGGTTGACCTACATTGCTTGCTACAACATTAGGATTCTGATGAATGTAAATATTTTGACTTGGAAGGTTATTAGCAACTGTTGTGTTTATCGAGTGGGGCTGAGGACTGCCGCTGCCACTGCCGCCACTACTCTGCAGTGTTGTTATTTGTGGATGTGTCTGCACATTGCCAATATTAATTACTGTCTGTCCAACACCAGCAGCTAAAGCACCATTAACATTACTGTTCTGAATAATCCCCTGTAGGTTGGCTGGTTGTTGGTGCTGTATACCTGGCTGAGCCACGGTTACAACTTGGGCTGTCCCAACCCCAGTCTGTGGGATTTGAATAATGTTCTTAAAAAAAAAAGAAGAAAGATAACAGCATGTTAGGTACAGTAACATGAATTGACACAATAATACAGCCTTAAAGCCATAATATTTTAACGTTATGTTGATAAAAAGATAATATATGATTTCTAAACAGAAAGCTACATCACCACAACCACAACGTATGGTAAAAGCTGAGAAATGAAGTTCATGTTTTGGTGGACACGATTGTTGATGTTCAGCCAACATGTTTCCAATGATATTCTAAATACATCTATTCTCACTTTGAATTTAATTTTGCTATTTTTGCTGAAGGGATGAACGAATATAAAAATCCAGTTAAAATACCTTTTTTGCTATTTTAAAAGTTCAACTCATCAAACAGTGAAAATTAATTCTAGCTGAAAGTATTTCACAGTAAGTGACATATAAATTTGTTTGGAGATTCCATAACACTGTAGAACAGAGTAATCTGACAGCATCTCAAACTTCCCCATATTTAATCTAGCAAGTGAAAATTGAAAGAACAGACAAGTAACATCTGTCCTTCCTGGTAAAATTACTTGCACAAATCGCTGGATGACAGAATTACGTCATCAAATTCATATCTCTCATTCTAGTTATGAAATGCAGTGTTTGTGTAGGCATGTTTTAGATTTACAGTACTCTGATTTGAAACTGTTTAAAGGCATTTGAAATTGCCATGAACAGTATTAGAGAGGTGTGGCAATTAAAACAGTGATTAACAAGAATTTTTACATGGGACATTACTTTTTCTTCTCTGGCATTAAATCTGACTACGAACTCCAAAAAATCATGACATTCTGCAAACAAGCAGCCTATCGGCTGAGATAGCTCCGCTGTTAGCAATGCACATTTCAATTAAAGAACTGAAGACATCATTAATAAACAAGTCATTGAAAATGACACAGTCCCCATTAAGTTCTCTTTGTGCTCGTCATATTAAAGCGGAGGGGTTGTTGCGAGCGTGTCCTTGAAACTTGAGTTCCAAGTGGCGTATACAACAGATTGTTTATTTACATCAAAACACGTGTTTCGTGTCATAGTAATATGGCCAAAATAAAAACAGCCGTTATTCAGCCATCTTTGATCTGATTATGAAACACACTGAATATGTATGATGTATGTACCAAATACAAATGAAAATGGTACATAAATTGTGGAAATATAGTAGTAAGGCCAAAAAGTCAGATGGCTGTCAATTGGCCATCCTTGACCAGATTTTGAAACAAATTGTCATGGACATGCATCCTAACATGTATAAAGTACATGTATGTGCCAAATTTGAATGAAAACTGACAGAGCACGTCCAAGATACTGCATAAAAAAACAAAAACAAGATGCCTGCCAGTCGACCATCTTTGATCCAATTGCGAAATAAA